GTGATTGCTGTATGTTCAGTCCCCAAGCTATGTATACGATTTGCTTATTTTTCTCTATAGGTATTAAATTTTCTCTTTTGTCAATGATTTATTTTAGAAGTTTAAAAATAAAAGCCATGGGAGAAAACAAACTTGCACATGAAAGAAAAATAAACGGTGAAATCAGGAACTACTCCCTATGGGTGACTGAGGCAGCTGTAACGGGGGCCTGCTCCTTCAGCAGGGCGGCTCAGCGCTGTGCCGTAGGATGTTTTGTGGATGGTATTTTCTTGAAGGTAGTGTGGGAGAGGAAGAAACTTTCCTCTCCCCTCAAGGTTCTTCTGGTTGATCTAATAATCAAATAGACGAGACAGATTAGCAAGAGAGAATAGCCAAATTTAATAGATTCCTATGTATGGGAACCTCGCATGCATGAGACAGACACCACACATGCACGAGAGAGGTTCAGAGACAGAACGGGGAATGGAGATGCCCTGGCTGCTGTGGACAAAAAGGAGGCCACATACTAAACCTGACAAGCTCAGAAGAGGCCTGCAAGATGGCCTTACGAATTCAGTCCTAAAGTAGCCACATAGGATGGTTTGAAATTAAAACTTTCTAAACTAAAAGCAGCTTGTGGGGGGTAGTCATGTTCTTTGTTATTTTTCCCTAACAAAGGTCAATCTTCACTTTAACTGAGCTTGTCTGTTGTCTTTTTTTGCATCTATGATAATATACCTGATAACATGCCTTTGGAATATCAAAGTAATTTCTTTTTTTTTGAATTCCTCAAAGCAAAACCACCATACAGAGCAGAGACCACAAATCCCCTCATTGTTATTATTATCATGTTAACTATCCTATACCAGCCTATGTTAAAGATGTTTATGTCTATTCTTTTTATTTTTTATCCAGTCCCAGAGATTGTCCTGTTTTGCTTTCTCCTGCCTCCCTAATCTATCACCAATGGGTTCCCTATAACCCCCTTACATCTTCCCCTTTGATTGTAACATATAAAATAAGTGGTAAAACTGCCATTTTCCAGAGCACTTTCTCAATCTGTTGAGACTTTGCTTCGCAGAAGTTGTCATCAGTTTGGCTTAAATAAACTCGTAAAAATTCTCACAGGTTTCGACGTTTCTTACATTGACACTGAGTAGCTCAGTTGGTTAAAACATCATCTCGATAAGTCAAGGTGGCAGGTTTGATCCCAGGTCAGGGCACATACAAGAATCAGCCAATGAATGCATAAATAAGTGGAAAAACAAATCCATGTTTCTCTCTCTCCCTTCCTCTCTCTCTCTGTCAAATCAATATTTTTTTGAAAAGAAAGAAAGAAAGAAAGAAAGA